CTTAGCGCATTTTCTGCATGGGGTTCCCCAGATCAGGTAGCCAACCTAACCGCCTCCGTCGTGGTGGCGTCAATGTGGACCTTTTCGTTGGAGAGTGCCGCAGATGCCACAAAAAAAAAAAAAAAAAAAAATTATAATCCCTTTTGGGAATTAAAATAATTTAAAAGCTATCTATATGGCATGTAAAAAATGCGGGAAAAAAAAAAAAAATCATTGACAAAAAAGGGGAAACACTTTTTTTTTTTTTTTTTTTTTTTTTTTTTTGAGGCTCTTGGGGAGAGAAATTAGCAAAATGGGGTACCGTGTGGAGTTTCTTGGCACAAATGATTCGTACTGGGACGCGCATATGCATCGTGAGGAGAAAGACCATGTGGGTGTGCTACGTAGAGGTGCGTCACGTGTGGGTATTCTACGCTTCGGTTGCGTTTCTCACCCCCAGAAGCAGTAAAACAAGGCAAAAAAAAAACACACACACATGTCAGCATGAGCGCATAATATATACACACGCATGAGAAGACCTATCCTTCATATGCGCATTTCTTTCACTTATATTTTTTCCGTAGCATGGCACTCCTTTCGTGGATGTCCTTGGTGCGCAGTTTTTTTTGTTTTTTTTTTTCAGGAGCGGCGTCCTGATCCGCGGCCTGTTTATGTGCGTGGTCGCGGCTTTGTTCCACCACATTGTCGGTTTCATTTTGTTGATTGCTCCCTCCCTCTACATGTGGTGCGTCGTCTGTTTCATTTTCTTCGCCGATCTCTCCAGCCACAACTGCATCAGAACATTTGAAGAACATGCTAACCCGCGCAACGTCGTCGTCGCCCAAGTTTCCCTTCGTGTCGAGTAGGTGGGTCGCGTCTTCCTCCTGATCGCCCTGCGCCGCCTTGTCCATTTGGCTAATCTCCTTTAGCAGGCTCTGCATGTTGGCCTCCAACACGACGTTCTCAGATTTCTACACAGGGGAAGTGGTAAAGCGGTGGAGGGGGGGAGAAGCTCCGTAGTGTTTGTATCATTGTGGCTGTGTATCATTGCAGCAGTGTGCGTGCATGTCCTCTCTCTTACCATCGCTGAAATTTTCGCGTCCACGTTACTAATCTGCTCGCGCAGCTTCTGTTCCGAAATTTGAAAAATGAGTTTCCTGTTTTTTTTCTTCGCCTCCAGTGAGCTGATCACATTATCTGAGGTGAGGGGGATCCCCCAAAAAAAAAAAAAAAAAAAAAATCACACAATTGTGGATTGTCCGCCATGGGGCTGTGTGTTTATCGTAATAAAGGAGGGGGAAAAAATATGAACAAAGTTAGACACTCTAAAATGTGCCCCCCGTCCATTGGCTCATCATTTACTTATGTCACTAAAGAGAAATTCGCAATTCTGTTTTAGGTACTTGACGTCGTCGACCCCTTCTTCTATGTCCATGAGTGAGAAGTGCAGGTAGTCTTTTTTTATTTTGTTTCTGCAAATATCGTGCTTTAGTTTCTGCACGTGAGGGAAGGAAAAAAAAAGGCGGCATAACAGTACGTAGGCATAGCAGAGGAGACACAACAGAACGTGACGCCACGCAGAAAAGGACCCGCCCCCTCCCGTTTGGCATTACCCGGATGCTCTTTCTCAGCTCGAAGTTCTCATGAATGATTTGATTCGTATCTGTAATGTGCTTTTGGATAATTTTTTTTTTTATGAATAAATTTTTCCTGGAGTCGAAGTCGAATCCTATGACCTGCAAATGGGGAACATATACGCCGGTGGACATTTCTTCAGGAGGAGTTTTTTTTTTTTTTTTTTTTTTTTTTCTCTCACGTGGAGAGATACGTTCAGGTAAGAAGAAGGGGAGAGAGAGCTTGATCAGGGTGACTAACTGTGGACCACCGGGGCTGAGTCTCTTTTCCCCCACTTACATTTTCATATTTTTGCTCGATGAGGACATCGAAGTTGATGCACTCGTGGAGGAACCTCTTCTCGAACTTTTGCTTCTTCCTTGTGAGCAGTTCGCTTAGGGCCAAATTCTTTTTGTGTTTCTGCGGTGAAGGGGAAAACGGGTGGGAATGGGCGAGGCGGGCTCTGTCTATCTATACAACGACTGGACGGAGGAGAAGTGCGCGGAGAGTCAGCTCGGTTATTTTGTGGAGGGGGGGGGGATAGATCCCTCCTTTTCTTGTACCTCCAACAGGTGCTTCCTTTCCTCCCGTAGAGAATGCTCGTCAACCTGAAGGAATTAATAATTTCTCCGTTGTGTTGCAAAGCTGCCCGAGGGGAAAAAAGGGGCCGATCTTGCAACTCCCCCTGGACACACATGCAGACATGCAGGCAGGCAGACACACATGAGTGAGTTGTCCTTGGAGGCACCATTTCATGCTCCCATTTTAATACCCCTACCTGTAGCGCATCTAATTGTCTCATCGAATCCTCAAGCTTAGATAACTCCCCCTCCACTGCAATCCTCTTCTCTTCTATTTGGCGTAGAGCTTCTTCCTTCCTTTCCTCATTTATTAACGTGGCGTAAATACCAATACAGTAAAGCTCGTGCAGCTTGATCAGCTTTTGTATGTTGTATCTGGTAGGGGGGGAGCGTGGGGGGTGTCGGCACAGATGAAGCAAAAATGGGTCAGAGGAGAAGAGGGCAACTATATAAGAGGTACGTTTTGTGTCGGTTGTTCGTTTCACTTTGGAAGGGGTTCCTCCAGAAAGGAAGCTAAAGATTTTTTTTTTCCCCTCCATATGCTCTTACTTCTTCTTCCTCAACTGTTTTAACTTTTCATTGAATTCCTCGCACTGGTCGGAGATTTGATATCTGCAGGATGGGACGTGTGATGAGACGAATGGGTGAAGGAATGGTCCTCAATTTGCAGCCCCATAATGGAGAGACGCGCAGTGACCGCAGGGCTCCAGCTCTACACACACAGAGGCATCCATCCAGCTGGGCCGAAAAACACACGTGTAGGAGTCCACTTACATGTAACTCTTCACATCAGAGAGCGCATTTCTTACGTCATTTTTCTTCTTCTCTTTTATCTCAACACTTTCTGGGTCCGCTTCGTCGTTGCAAGGGGTTGTGTCTTTGGGGGGTTCCTTGTCCGCCCCTGCTTCGCTTCTGCGGAAGGACAAAAAAGCAAGTGCATAAGAAATCCAAATTGATGGCACACTGTTGTAGAAGGTATATGTGGCCTCCTTTTGTGAGAATCAGCCTACGCACATGTACTCACCCTCGTAACCCAGGTGCCATCCCGAAATGGTCCCCCTTCTTTTCCCTTTTCAGAGTTAGGTCCCCTTTTTCATGATCGTCAAAGGCATCCCCTTTTTGACTCTCCACATTGAGCTTGTGCAGGTGCATTTTGAGCAACACGTGAGGGTCGAATTTGTTCGAAACAGGGAGGAGGGCATCCCGCTTCACTCCTTTTAACGCTCCCCTGTTGTAGAGGCCGTCTTCTATGGTGTGAGAGTAGGGGTGGCTAAAATATTTGTCTGTGGATTCCAGAGAGAGCTTCAGCTTGTTGGACAACAAGTTTATTTCTTCCACGTAGTTTTGCTTTTCTTCCTTCAGGGCGAGAAAGTGGCTGAGAAATTTCGCCTTTTGCTGTAGTGGGGGCGGTGTGAGGCGGTGAAAAGGATAGAAGCGGTGGGATCGATTCGAGCTGTAAAAGGGATGGAAGCAATGGGTGGTGTCGATAAAGCAGCCGTCCCTGTGATGCCCACCTGGTCGATAAGCATCTGCAGCACGTAGCACTGCAGGCGCTTCCGCGCGTTCGTGAACAACTCGCAGGGGGGGTAGAGGAGGTAGTTCCACTGTACGCCGTCTACCCCGCTGTCCACCCCGCCGGCCGAAAAAGAGGAGCCGAACAAATTGGCGTATAAATAATTCAAATTCATGTTTGTGCAGGGGTAGTAGTGAGAAAAGAACAGACAAGAAAAGTCTTCAGTGTATCGATCTATGTAATCTTTTGTTGTTTTTAAAAAGCAAAGGACATTATTTTTTTCTACATTTTGGACAAAGTCTGATTCTTTAAGTTGGAGAAAGCGCAGCAATTTGATTTTCTCTCTAATGGGACAAGAATGATGGTGACTGCTTTTTTTAAATGAATTGGTCACATATGAATTTGTGTTTAATCCGAAGAGAAAATCGATTTGTGCAAGAGGGGAGCATTTTTTTTCTAGTTTTTTTATTAGTTGTTCTTTGGCTATCTTTTTTTTTTCAAATTTTTTTTTTATTTTTTCAAATTCATTGATTAAAATTTCTGACTCGTTAATAATTTTTTTGTCAAAAAAAAAGTTTTTTCTGTCCAATTTTATACTGCTGTTGTTATTTTCGTTTTGGGTGATTAATTCCTTCAGTTGATTTCGGAGCTTGTCTATTTGTTCTCTTTCTTCCTTCCTCTTCGCGTGGAGTTCACTCAGGTAGAACTTGTTTTTGTAGTTTTCGAGGCACTCCTGCAGGGGCAGGTGGTACTCGTTTTCGTTTAGGAAGGTGAAGATGGTCGTTTCGTTATCGAAGAAGAAGTTCGTGTGGTTGGGTGTGCCACTGAAAGCGATAGGGGTAGCAGCGTCCGCTGAAATGGCTGCACCGGAAGACGTAACTTTATCATCACCAGCAGGAACCTCTTTTGTTGCACCACTTGGGTGTGTCCCCCACTCCATTGACACCCTCTCCTGGAAGCTCTTCCCTCGCTTGTCGCGCAGGCGCTTCCTCAGGGCACTGCTGTACACTTTTAAAAACACCACACTGGGTTGCCTCAAAAAAAAATTCACATCACTTGGGTAGAGGGTCCCTTGACTTATCTTCGCCAAGGTGGCTTGCATAGTTGAGTCCATGTCCTTTTGGCATATCAGGTCGAGGGAGGATTCCCAATTCAGGTGTTCACTCTGGTTTGTGGGTTTATCTCCCCCTACATGGTTATCTTCATGTGGTTTGCCTCGTTCATGGTCGCCTCCCACCTGATCACCACTGGGTACCATTGCGGGGGCACATGACACGCCCTCCAAACGGAAGTGCCTCTCCTTGGTCAAGAACAAATTGTATGTTCCACTTTTCATATCCACTGGGTGAAAGAAGTTAATCCTTTCCGTTCCTCTCATAGAGGGGACCTGCACCTCAGGGTTCAGGACCATCCTAAGTGGGTATGCAGAACTGTCAAAGGAGAACGTAACAACCGTATTGGAGTCCGTAACGATGTAAAAGGCGCAAATGGGTCCAGCATTCTGTTCCATCTGTTCGTTAATGAATTGAACTCTACCCGTATGACTCAGATCAATGTGTAGGTCTTCTTCCCCTAAGTTTATGCGAAATGGAGGAGAACCTACAGATTTTTCTTCGCCATTTGGCTGTCCATGTGGTTCACGGTTCAGGGTTTCCGAATCTTCATTGACCCCATCTGGACGAAATGGCTTCTGCCTCCTTCTGCGTCGCTTCAAAATGAATTCTTCAAAATCATTTCCCTCATCATTTGGCCCATGCACACCTTCACGTCTAGTACTCCCTTTGTCTCTTTTCAATCTTCTGAGGAAGGACGTCTTTTTTCCCGAGAGTAGGGCTGCAACCTCGTTTGAGTTTCCCGGGGAGACGTCCCCAAATGTGACTCTGTTCATGTAAAAAAACCGGACATTCAAATGGAAGTCCACGAGGACTAGGTAATTGCCAATGACCTTTGCATAGACTACATTCTTGTGAGGCACCTTCCAATAGAAGATTCGCACGTTGGTGTCCCAATTTTTTTTTGTCCTGATTATCATCTCCTTCTTTATTAGTTGTACGAAGAGGAGGTAAAAGTTGCGTAGGTCCTCGGTGGCCGTCAACAGGCAGGCATAGTCGCAGTGGCGTTTGGACCTGAATTCCAAGTCGACGTGGACATCGACGTCGGAGCGTCTGTACGTTGAGAGGCTCAGCAAAAGTGTGGCCGCCTCGCCGCTTTGATTGACATTTTGGTCCACATTTTGAGTGACGTTTGGACAGACGCTTTCGTCGCTTCCCCCCTGATGACACACCTGCGCGAGCAGCCTTCCTATCAGCACCTCATGCACGAAGTAAATGAACAACTTCTGGTGCGACACGGAGTGAATCAGGAAGAAGAAGAGTAGCGTCCCGCACACCTTGAAGTAGCCATTGAAAATGTGCTCATTCACCTTGTTGAAGACACCACATTCGATACACCGTCTTCCACTACGACCCACACTTGGTCCGCGTCTTCCTCTAGTTGTTTCATCCCCCAAGTGCCGCCTCACACTCCCGTAGAGCAAAATTTTGCTGCTGATCAGGTTGATAAAAAAAAAAGATCCATCTGTGAGGGCCACAAACAAGCAGTTGTATTCCCCCATCAATGAAAGAACATCGAACCATTTTATTCCCCCACCAGTGCATATAACATTCAATTCATTGTCTGCAAGAGAGTAACACTTGAGCATTTTAGCTTCATCCAAAGTGAAAAGGTATTTTCTGCTACACACTTTAAGGTCCTTTATTTTGTGCAGAGCAGTATGTCCACAGAGGTAGAAACTGGAGTCATCAGCTGGACTCATTTTTTTTCGGTTAAAAGTTGTTGTGTAATATGACAGTCCATTTTCAAGCTGAATGAGTAGGTTTTTCCCTCTATGCAGGTGGACACTAATTATCCTGTGCGTCACGTACTTTTCAAAATTGACGACTGAAATGGGGGTAAAGATATGTGTGAGGTTGTCTTCATCATAGTGGAGCTTAGCAAAATTGGCCTTCCGTTTCTTCCGCATCTGGGAGAGGTCATGTTTTCGGTGTGCTCGTTTGGAGGGTGTTCCCTTGTTCATAATATTATCTTCCCCAGGGGAACATAAATTGGCGTAATCGTCCTTCGAACTGGGGTAGGTATCCATCGAGCTTGCACAACCAGCGCTACACTGAGCGACGCACTCGGCGAAGGCTACGGAGTCCCATGCCTGCTCATCGTCCACTCTCCCTTCCCCCTCCGACTCGTCTAACAACTCAAACCCTTTGTCATTTATTTTATTTTCCACGTTTTTAATTTCGTTTAATATGGATTCGAAGGTGGTTCCAGATTGCTTGGAAGACTTCCTCCTGATATGTCTCCTGTTGTTGAGAGCTTCGTTTTCCTTGGCCTGTTGTGTGTTTGGTTCGTTCGGAGGTGCCTCCATCGAGGGCTTCTCCTCCGCTTTCCGGTTCTCCTTTCTCTTTTGAAACAAGCACTTGGTGGTTACGTAGTTGTCTTCGACTGGGGTTACCTGGCGGCGAGGGAGTGAAGTGGGAGGGGTGCACAATTAGCGCCGTGCCATCTTTTCACGTTATCACGTCATCATCTTATCGTGGTAGCTAGTTAGCGGGGGCGCTACGCTGATAGGTCACCGCTTAGCTACGCCCCACCTTGCGAAAGGCGGCCGGGGAAAGCGCGCCGTAGTTCACGCGGAAGCAGACAATTTCCTTCGTAGCGAACGCGACGAAGAGATACTCGAGGTGGTAAAAAATGCAGCAGATTTTGGAGTAGTTGTTGTGGCACCTCAGGCGGGGTAGGTCCCTCGAATTGGTAGAAAGGTTAAAAAAAAGGACTTCATTATTGGACAGGCAGATGGTGAAGATATGAAAGTCTAGCCAAGATGTTGCTACAATGGGACTATTCACAAACAGTTCCTTCTTCACGGTGGTTACGTTTTCTTTTAAAAGATGCTCATTTGAGGTGGATACAAAGAAGACACTCTTTTGTGAGACCAAAATGATTTTCTTCCCGTCATATGGGCACACCATCATTTTTTTAAAAATGGATGAAGACTTGTGTGTGGCTATTATTTCGAGGTCTTCTTTTTTATTTCTACTCAACTTCAGGGTGCAAATAAGATACTCTTCATCGAAGGGTAAATCAGCACCCAACTGGTCGCTTAACTTCCGGGTGTTATCCCTTCCAGACAGTTCTCCCTCCTGCAAGGGGGGCCGAGCATGCCGCCTCTTTAGTAAAAGGTACACCTGGCCATCCCCCAGTGTTACATCTTTTATCGTTTCCCCAACTCTGTGTGTTAATTGCACCTCGCAGGAGTTTAATCCATTCGCCTCATCGAATACGAGGTAGAATAACAAATCGCCCGAGGGTCTACGTATGACCACTGCCATAGCATGGTCTTTTTCACTGCAGGAGATTTTCCTCACGGGGTGTGGGATGTACCTTCCCTCCACGTTGTGTGTGCAATGGTCCGTTTCTCCCTTCACTGCAACCCGTGTGGTGAGGCGGCCCATTGCCACGTTCGCGCTTTTTCTTCCCTGGCCCGCCGCCAATTCGAAGCGAACTTCCCCAAGGGTCTCACAACACGAAATGAACAAAAACTTCCTCTCATTGTTTACAAGGTTAAGTAGACAAATACAACTGCCTTGCAAGAGGCACATAACATTCTCGCTGATGTATTGAAAGTCGGAACACGAATTGTAACGCGTCATGGTACATTTTGTGTAGCGTCACTTTTATTTGTGAGATATGAGAGGTGTAGAGACGTTATACAGAAGCCTTAACTGGGATTCATGTGAACAGCAGAATGAAATAAAACAGCGCGGGGTAGTGCCATATGTAAAACTCCGCAACGTTGTGCTTAGCGCGGATAGGTAAGTCCCTGCACGGTGGGAAAAAAACGAAGAGCAATACGTACCTATCCCAACGGGAACATACATATCTCTTTTTATGTCCCCCCAGTTTTGCTGCTATTCACCTTCCCACACTGCGCGAGACAAAATACACACAAAAAAAAAAAAAAAAAAAAAAGAAGACATCTACTCAAGTGCGTCACCTTAGTGAAGTGACAAACGGGTGAAAGTCCCCACTGGTAAAATTTATAAAGCGAGAAAAAGTGGGAAAATATGATCACAAGGGGGAAACTACATTTTGCGTTGATTTTCTCCTAACATGTTTGTGCGCCTTGGGTAAGGAGAGACTGTCTCTCGTGTACCGTTTTACACGGTTCACACATAGCTCTGTGGTCAGAGAGGAAAATTGACGGCGTATCGATCGTGTTGAAATGATTGCTCTGGAAAGTGGTACGTGGGAAGATTGCCAATCGGCCACGCAGGCAGTCCCCATGCCTCATTCCATCCTCCAAAATTCCCTCGTAGAGAGCGCAAAAAAAATGTTACGTGTGTGTTTTGGACTGCACGTGTAAAGAGGTCTACCCCTGCTTTTTGTTCGCAAGGGCCCCTTTATTTTTCTCACCGTTGTGCACACGTGAAGGGAGAACACTACCACGTTGGATTCCATTTAAGGCGCCTCCCCAATGGAGTTAACAGAGCAGACGCTCCAACGTTGCAGGTTCCTGGGCAGTTTAGCCGATCCACCATAATGGCAGAGAAAAATGTCGGTGGGTGGTACGCAATTTGTTTCCTTTTCTTTACTGTGTTTCATTTTAGGAGTTTTTTATTTAATCACCAGTGCCTGCACAATTGCACAATTGCACAACTGACCAGCTGCCCATTTTTGCATGCGTACCCATTTGGGGGAATACAATTTCAAATTTTCCTTAAGGGCCAACTTAAAGGCAATCAAAACGGAGTGCCACGTTGGCTCTGTTTCTACCATCCAGTGAGTCATTCCCCTTTGGGGTTACAACTTTTCCCCCTGCGGATGCACTTACTTTCCCTGTGGACCATTCTCCATTTCGAAATGAATATAATGCGCATATGTACCCATGTGCACAGTTTTCACCCACCTCGTCAAAATCCACGCCGTTTCATCGGAAGAGGTGCTCGCAATGGAAGTAAACTTGAATCACTAACTGCAGGACTAAATGCTGCATACAAAAGGAGATCGCACTTGAAGGAGAACGAAAGGCATAGTTATAGCTATCCTATCCCAGTTAGCCAAAAAAAAAAAAAATAAAAAAAAAAAAAAAAAAAAAAAAAAAAAAAAAAAAAAAAACTCCATGTTCATGTAAAAATGTCATCATAATTGTAGCTCCGATAGAAAAGTGATTTTCCTCATACTTGAGAAAAAGCACAAATTGGTTTTCTTTTTTTCCACAAATAATTCATATCGTTAATGTGAAGGCGCAGTATTGAGCTGTTACGTGTGAAGGGAAAAGAAGAAAAGTGACTTTCGTCGAAAAAAGGAACAACATTGTGCGTGAGTGAAAAAAAAAAAACAAAAAAAAACAAACAAAAAAGGGACATCCTCTCTGCAGGGGCTTACAAGGGGATAGAAACTTTAAATGCAGCAAAGGTTATAGTGAGGAGTGTGCTTCTACCGGTGAAGAAAAAGACCGTCACATATAAGTTTGCTAACTACCAATACCTACCTGTCAATTGAGTCGCCAACAAAATGTCGTTCCTCAGTAGCCCCTCGACCAACCACATGATAACGAACCTAACCAAAAGGACAAATGAATTCCAGTCCAAAATAGATAGCATACTTAACAAAATAAGCACAGAAAGCTTGCCCTTCCAGAAGAAGTCCTTTATTTGCTGTGTAAACTGCTTCGACACATACAACACGGACTTCGAGACAATCGGCAAGTGCGTGAACAACTGCCAGAAGGGGACGGAGCATTTCGTGCAGGTCGTCCAAAATGAGATGCAAAACTTGCAGAACAATTTGCAGTCTTGCCAACAGGTAAGCCAAAAAAAAAA